TTTAGATCTGGTGACTATGCAGGCCATGGGAGATGTTCAACTTTACTTCCATGTTAATCAAACCACTTTGTCACCAGTTTTGCCTGGTGTATTGGTCCATTATCATCTTGATACGAGGCACCACTTTCAGGATACATTGTTTGAACCATTGGGTGCACATGTTCCTTCAGAATGGTTCAGTATAGTCCTTGGCAGTGATGTGCACATCTAGCACTTGCCTATGATGTTGCAGCCCAAACCATCACTGATACTCTGGTCATGCAACAGTGAGGGTGGTATGCTTCTCTGCGGCTTCTCCACATCATAACGCTCCAAAATGTGGAAAAGACACAAGATTTTTGAAACCAACGTTTGGCATTTGCACGAGTGACCAAAAGTTCGGCTAGAGATGCACAGACATTTATATCGACCCTGTGAGCTTCCAACAAACATTTTTGGTGGAAACAGAAGAGTTGAGGTGCGCATTTAATTCTGCAGTGAGCTTGGCAGCTGTGGATTTATGCTTTTTTTGCATACAGTCAAGGTTAGCACCCGAACATGACTTCTTCTTCTGGTGCCTGTTGGATGTGATTCGTTCTTCTTAATGATATGCTGACATTACTTTGGTTACTGTAGCTCTTAATACATCAGAAAGACTTTCTGTCTTGGTCAAAGATGTGCTAGAGAGACTCAACAATTTGTCTCTTTTTTTAACTCTGATATGTCACCCATAATTTTGTGAGCATTGCAATATTTTAAGCACAACTGTGCTATTACTCTACAAATAAACCTGCACAATGTGCTCTTACTGGTAAAGCAATAAAGAATGGCCACCAGGCTGGTCAAATTAAGCCAATAAACCGCCCACACTAAAATGTTCAGTGTTTCAGTTACATTGTCCAACCCCCACCGGTCCTACACCACCCAACCCGCTCCAAGCTGGTATTGGACTGGCGACTTTCCGCATGGAAGTCGGTTGCTCTACCAAGGAGGCTAAAGACCATGGCCTCTGGCGTCTGTCACTAGAGCACCTTTAGAGGTCAGAGGAGTGAAGTTTACCTGCACAGCACACACTAGATGGCCTCTGTTACAATAGCGAATGTCAAAAATGTTTAAAACACACACACATATATATATATTTTAAAACATGGTTAGTTCATAATTTTCCATTTCACAAAACTTAAACTCATGCAAATGTGTTTGTGTTTTGTATTTACCCACTGTCATTTTTTTCTATTATTACAATATGTTTATATGAAATAACCTAAAATTTGTACCATCAGTACAAGTTATTAAAAACATTTATTAGAAATAACACATTTTATGCTTGTGTATAGTCTTGTTTGGGTAGATATTGAATATATAAGGTATTGATATTGAAAAAAAATGCTCTCACATTTTTTATTGAAAAAGGTAACAGACATTTCCATAATCTAAGTAAGTCTAAATCTGGCTAAAACTACGTCAAACATTTAGGCAATAAAAACATAACCGATGACTGAAATCCATGGCAGATATACTGATTATTATGGGCTGTCATTTACCCCACTTGTCTCTTCTCTCACCATTAGTACTTTCTTTCAGCTCTGTGATCTGAGGCACCTGGTTTACCTTTGGGCCTAATTTATGCAATAGCATAATTGCACCTACAGGGGAAAAATAGTCAGTTTTTAATAGTAATAGTAAAAATAGTAAGTTTGACTGATTGGTCAAGCAATCTATGAATGATGAACACAACTGTATGCACCTAAATCAACAAAAAATTAAGATAATCTATAGCAGCTCTCTGAGATATAAATATTGCAATAATACTTCTTTTTAATAAACTCTTAAGCCCTATTATTATTCTAAAACATATTACTTAATACATTGGCCTGCTGTTTTTCAAAATGATTTAATACAGTTTAAAACACAGATGTGCACACACGCTTTTACCCATATGCATACATACAGTGTCATTCTGTTTCACACCTGTTCAAACAATTGCAATTTTACAACACCTGCTCAAGCTGCTTGTTTTGATAACAACCCTGTTGGCCAAAAACATTTCCAGACCACTGATCCTTGTTTGACTGCTACACTGTTGAGTTTGACCAACTCAACACGGAGGCTTATTCTTATCAAACAGGATGGGATGATTCCCCACAGTAACCTTCTTTTCTGCTTAGAGCCAGGCAAGGCCCCACCTGAGAACAGCACCGAGGTGTACAATCAAACAAAGAGAATGCAGGCAAACACAATTATGAAAAATGACTGAGGGAAGTAATATGACTGTCTAAAATTATCAAATTGATAAATTAAATTGTTAAAATTTACCCTTTGTTTATTAATGTTACCTACCATGCAATTATTATACATTTAACTCCTGATTAATGCAGAGTTCATTTAAGTTAGGGTGTAATCAATCAATCACTTACTTATCCTTCGGCTTAGTCTGGCATGTGTTTTGTGTGGCGGGTGTCCTTCTAGCCACAACCCAGAACCGGGAAACACCCATACACTCTTTCATTCACACACACACACTGCGGCCACACTATGATACTGAGCACCTGGAGGAAACCCATGCCAGGATGAAAACATGCAAAATTCACACAGAAATGCCTCCTGGCCAACGCCATCAACCTTCTTGATGTTAACCACTGAGCTACCATGCTCCCCTTAATCATTTATTATTTATTAAACTAAAGGTTAATATATATATATATATATATATATATATATATATATATATATATATATATACACACACACACACACACACACACACACACACACACATATATATATATATATATATATATATATACACACACACACACACACACACACACACACATATATATATATATATATATATATATATATATATATATATATATATATATATATGTGTGTGTGTATATATAATTGGTTAATATATATAAAGGTTAATACAGTAAGAATGCACAAATTAACTGCTCAGTTTTAGTTCACAAATGAGACTTTGAAGTGTTACCATATCATTTAAGTATTCTGTTTAACTGAAAAGTAGTTCATAATAAAAGTATGCTTGGGGAGGTGTGGGTATTTCCATTGTTGGTGTTTGCGTTACTCCTGAATGACGTACACAGAATGCTAGTTTTGTATGCAGTAGCAACACAGTTGTACCTGCGGGGAATGAGGGCCCTTAGGAGGCTCTATTAGTGTGTACGGTGGCAGCGGGTCTTTATGTATTTTTTTCTTATAATTTGCCTGACCTTTTCTGAAAATAGCTGAGAATCACAAAACCTGAGAATCTCAGAACATGCGATGCTTTGACTTCAGAGCATGTTAGGAGATTCTGGAAATCTGCAGGCGATATCTACAATATCCAATGCACATCAACAAGGTCTATTATTTTTAACCTTGACAAGGATAGAAAGAGAGTGGGAGAGTGTGCAAAAAAGTGCTTAGGGTTTTCCTTTGAATCAATTTTACATTGCAAACAGCATTAGCATATATCAAATGTAGAACCAGCAAAATCTGCATAACAACTCTGACATGTTTTTAGGTTTGTAATTTAATTTACTTTAGCTTTATTTTAAAGATTAGATCTGTCCATAGGGAGCACAATCAAAGAATTTTTTATTAAAGTTAATAAAAGATCCTTTACGTAGGTTTAAATAAGACATGTTGTAAATAAACTTGTTAAATCAGGAAATCAGAAACTGAACTACAATATTTTGTGATGTTATCACCATTTTTGGTTTCAATATTTTTATCATCAGAAATTTTCACTGACATTTACTTGAAAATACACTTTTTGTAGACATAAACATCAAACTTGCATTCAAACAATTAAAGATTTAAAAAGTAAATAAAATAAAATAATTATTGGAAACAACAACAACAAAAGTCATGAAAATTATAATTACCTAATACTACTAATAAAATAATAATAATAAAATAAATAAATAAATAAATAAAAACACGCATTCCCCCAACCAACCACCCACCAGTGCTATCCAACAATAAACGTAGGTACTAAAGGCATAGTAAACATATTAATTACAAGTTTGTAAAAAGGAAATAAAAGGGGACCAAATTTTGCCAAATAACAGAACTTTGTCTATTAAGGTATGTCTGTTTTTTTCCAGATGTAGTGTACCTGTTAACTCTGTCAGCCATAATTTTAGACTTGGAACTTCTTTTTTCTTCCAAAACAAAAGGATGGGTTTTTTGGCAGAGATCCACCCATATGAGACAAACTGTTGTTGTACCCGTGTAAGTCTCAAGAATTCTTCGGAAACTCCAAATATAAATGTTATCACCATTTTTTCGAGATACCTGTTTAACTACTTTAATGCAAACAGTATAAAACAGCAAATAAAAAGGTAGATGAAGAAAAAAGATTGGGGACATTTTTAATTTCCCATTATAAATCAATGTGCATACGTGTTAAATACAAAGTGATAATTTAAGTGATTCTGAATAGTGTTAACAGACATTAATATTTCTATAAAAACTTAAAGGTTGTGCTTCTGTATGAGAATAGACAAATACAAATTAGTACATCTAAGGTAGAAATTAAAAAAAAATATATATAATAAATAAAGAGAACCCAGTGCAGCCATTTAAAATGTTCAGCTTCTAACTGAGTAATAGTGCAATGGAACAATATGGTGCACATAATACGGGCTGAACTGATATCACAGTTCACAAAAGCATGCTATGGAATTACCTTCATTCTCCATTCCTTGAAGATAATGCCAAAACTGTGAAACGTCTATCCAAACAGTGCTATTTGTTAAGAATATTTGGGTAATAGCTCAGCAAGTTATTTTCTCATGTATCAATTTCAAATAATTTATAAAATTGATAAAGAAATATTGCATTCATTTGGCAAGTAACACTTTAAAAGTAACGAGTTTCCAAATATACTCACAATATAATAATAAAAGTAATAGTTAAAAATGATAACAACAGTCAAATGGTCTAATATATATGTAAAGTAGCTGTGCTCATAACTAATTTACCAGAAAGAAAACTAAGGAAAAGCAAACTTAAGATGTGAGGACTTTATTCACAGAACATAATGTAATCATTCACTACATTAATGTGAAAACACAGTATTTACAGAACAAAACATTTTTGATAAAAAATATTTTAGAATGATTAAAATCGGCTGGTTGAACATATATTCTCTTACACATACAGTTATAGAACATCGCGCATGTTATGTACATCATCAAGTCAACACGTATAGCTTTGTACAATATTAAACAGCAGGGAAATCCCTGGTCAACACACGTCACCTAACAATATATGTCAGATGTTTACATTTTCATTTTCTTTAGTAAAGCTTTAGAGACTGTAAATTTACACCCAGGTTCTTTTTTTTTTTTTTACTTAGGTGCCTTCAAAAAGAAATACCAAAGAAAAAGATGGTGTGGGAACAGATTCTCTGTCCAAATCCACATGAGAAATCGGACTGGCATCATCGCATGTTTGATAGTTGACCACAAAATGTTTACAAATTGTGATTTATTTATTTTATTTAGATATTAGTTTCAGTCCTGCTCCACTGTAATTGGCCAGATGTGTGTTGCATTCCCTGGTGAAGCTGGGCTTGGCTTTGGATGGGTTCATTTGCGCACCTGTGAGAAGGAATGAATAGAAGGGGTGTGTGAACTGTGTGCTCCAGACTTTCTGGCGCCACCAAAAAAACAGGGAATGCTCGATCAACAACCCGAATCAAACCAGGTCAAACAACCAGCGCAGTGCTACACACGCCTGGACTACTTAACCTCACACTCGCATGCTCCAGCATACAGCTGCAGGCCAATCGGCCCAGACGCTTCAGTTTAGAACTACTGCCTAACCTCCCATTAACGAAACCACCATAAAGTGGACAGTTATTGTACAAAACACAGCTGGGTTTGAGCATCTGCCAGCATCCAGTATCCAGTTACAGTCCAGCCAGTGAGGAAAACTTAAATAAAAAGATTTGAATAAAAGCTTGAAAGAACAAAAAGCATTCATACAAAGATACATAATTGTAATATTGTGATGATTACTTTTATCAACGTAAATATCAATGTCATGGCTATATCAAAAATTTAGCTGCATCTAATGCCAGCTCTATTAAAAGTATGTTTCCCAATTATCCTGACAGCTCAGTTAGGTCCTGTGTGTTAGTCCTTATACAGGCTAACTATAATACTTAATATAATTTAAGGTACTTTTACATTTTTATCAAAAGAAACTGTCAAATTAGTTACTGATTTTGTAAGTAAATTTGAGCATAATTTTAATTAGAAAATTATGGCTGTTTCAACTAATAATAAATAGCAATTTTATGTTTTAAAATGTGTGACAATAAATGTGATAGGGAAATTTCCTACATTAAGAATTTAAAGCAGTATGTGCACAACAACAACATTTCTCGAAGTGCTCCAGTCAATTTAGATTTTCATCAATATTTAAGATATTAGTATATGTGACCTTGCATAATGACTAGCCCTTTTTTAAAAAAAAATGTAATTCACTGAATTTCATGAACTCACCGGTGTGCAAAATTTCAGCGACACAAAAAAAGTGAGTCTTCCTTATTGACACCCGTTGTCCTCTGAAACCAAAAGAAACAGCTTCATTCATTCTTCCTGCGGCTAATAGTGAGGCAATGAGAGCCACATTGACCATCAATAAGGCATTTTACACTGAGCCATTTACAATAATGATGATCATCTAAGATAATAAATACAATAAATATTTATGTAGCCTATATAGGTAGAGTATAATATAATAATATTATAAAGGATATACAAATATAGGTCAATACATTTGCATATGTGGGTTACACAAAAGATGCGATAAATGAACAAAACTTAACACGCACACACAAATTGGTTTAACATTTTGGCGAAAATCAAAGCCAGAACAAAGTCTGATCTACAGCATCCTATTTTGTCTGATGCAGATCAATGAAATACGCTATGTCGCTTCGCTGCGCACCCAGTGTTAAGTGCAATGCATTTAGTGACAGCGAATTAAATGTTTCGGGTCCTGCTTACCTGCTCTGTGTTGATTTGTGTGAGTGGAGTCCGTGTGGAAGCGGGTGGGCTCGTCTGTTTCAGGAGCGCAGGGTGCGTTTCCAACGCCAGCTGCAGGTCCAGAATATAGTCAATGACATGCTGGAGGATTTCCACTTTACTGACTTTCTTATCCTGCGGAATAGTGGGCACCAAGCGTTTGAGTCGGCTGTAGCAGTCGTTCATGTCGTACTGCAGACAGAAAAGATCCTCATCTTCCATTTTGCATCGGCTGCTCTCCGACAAATAACGCAAGGAGAGCTGACTGCAGCTAGAAGGAAGCTTATGAGGGCGAACCGGCACGCTGGCCTTCATTGTAATAAATAAAACTACAAAAAGAAAAACGTGAAAAAGGAAAAAAAAAAACACGGACGCAACAATACGTTTAGTAAAAAAAAAACGTAGTATGGTGCACGAAGAAAAAGAGCGCAGATCTATCCTGACCACATCTCCTCTCTGAGTGTGAACGCACAGTGCAAAACAGCGGATGAGTTATTGTTGGTCACACAGAGGAAAAGGGGAGGCGCCATCCGCTCGAGCTTTGACAGTCCTACGCGAGGAAACCGGTCAGTCACGAGCTCTCGTGATGATGGAGCAGCGCGCGACCTGAAACTGCGCGGAGGGTCTCGAGCACAAACAAGAGGCTGCTGGGTGAAACGTATGAGTGTGTGCGCGCGCGTCTTTGCTTATCCATTAGTGAATTCATTCATTTCTATTTCTATTACATACAAAAAATATAATGCAAAGATTTTATTCGTTATTTGTGAACAAAATATTTAATAGTCTACTTATCTGGCCAGTTGAACTCTTCATTGGGAATTTTAGTATCTAAAATAACCTGTTTTTTTGTTTGTTTAGTTTTTTGGTCATGTTATAAAAAAATGTCACAGAAATTATTTTGTATAATTATTTCAACTATTTCAAACTAAAATGAAACGTATCTGTTTACAAGTCATATTTATGATTGCACTAATTATAAATGATTCAGTTGAATCTTTTTTTATTTGTTTGCATTGTTTGCTAAGATAAATTTATTTGGCTACTTGTGTTTACCAATTGGATGTTTGAATGGTGTTCTCAATACATTTGCAGGTTCATTTTTAGGGAAATCTGCAACTTTCACGGAATGTGGCATTGTTTATTTATTTATTAACTTATGTATTTATTATCGTTTTGTTAAATTAAATGATTCTATTTATATATAAAACCACATGCTGCACAGTGGTTAGTACTGTCGCCTCACAGCAAGAGGGTCACTGATTCCAGTCCTGGCTGGACAAGTTGGCATTTCTTTGTTGAGTTTGCATAAGAGGGACTAAGCTGAAGGAAAATTAATGAAGAAATAATCTTATAATGGTAGATTCCACAGTGACAACTCACACTCTGTCACCTCTTGATTTTAAGGTAAAAAAATAAATTAATTTAAAATAGATAACTTAATTCATAGAGAATATGAATTTGCATAAACACTGTATGGCTTTCCAGACATAAAATCATACTTAGAGAAATAATAAATATCTAGTCAATCATTTGAGTAAAATAATACAAAAAAAACCTTCTGTAACTGTCTTTTAAGCATTTTCCAGAAGATTGTCTGTTTTTGAAGAGTAAATGACCATTTAGCCTTATTCACTTTCACTTCAGACTGACACTAGTCCAGTTATGTCATTTATTCACAGCAGCCCACATTCAAACATTTTCACATCCCTGGCAAGTTGCCAAGGCAATAGAAATGCCTCCCCTCCTGAGGCAACAAGTTAGAATCTGCTTTGCACTTCCTCTTGCTTTAATGCTCGCAATTGTGTAATGTTTTGCCATGGTAGAATTTGTATCTGTGTGATATGTATTAGGTAATCATGGGACTTTGTCATGAAAAATTTTACTTGCTTTCTGCAGGTGGGTTGGCCAAACACCCAGCAGCTTAGCAGGTGCAAAGAGTTTGCAAATAGCGCTATTCGTCATGTTCTGAAAAGGGGTCCTCAAAACGTAGAGCTGGCGTCCTCCTTTGAAAACAAAACCACTTACGATGCATAAAGCCCTGCAATTAGCACATCACAACAAAAATCCTCAGCATTCTATTCTTGTTTAGTCAGAACTTGCTTTGGTTGGTAATACTTTATTTAAAAGGCTTTGTGCAAGGCCATTACAGGAATGTTTACCACATCACACATCTTACTCAGTGTTGAGAGGCTTTAAGTAGATGATGCTATTCAGCAAGCTGTTTAATTATAAATCAAATATTAGATCAAGTATTATATGTGTATTTCATAATGCACAAAATGAAGTACAATTTGACAAGAACTGCTGCCTTTTAATTATTTGCAAGAAAAACAACAGCGTTTGTTAGCCAATTTAAAATATTGCACATGTTTTTTAATATCACAAAAACGATGTGTTTCGCGAACTTGACCTTCTGTTATTACTGGATAGATTTTTTTTGGTGTTAAGCTATGTTAAGCTGCTTTGACACAATCTACATTGTAAAAGCGCTAACATGAATTGAATTGAAAAGGTGTTAGTCCCTGCTCACTGAATGGAGTTTGTATAAATTGAAGAGAACACTCGTCTGTCTTCTTCACAGGCAGCTCTTCAAAAGAGACAAGTGTATGAATCTTTGATGGTAACCTTTCCCAGAATACCTTTCATTCTCTCTGTACGTTCTATTTTAGCCCCCATGCAATAGGATATGACACTCTGTCAGCAGGCTTACAGTGTACGAAATAAACATTTCTTTCATTTCTTTGTAAAATAAACTCTTTGAATGCATAAACATCATGGACCATCTTGTATTTTTGAATTTCTTTTTAAAATGCCAACATACTACATTCAATCTACCACCTTCAGTCTGGGGCATGTCTCTAAAGTATATGAAAAAATGAATTAGCCTTAGTCTTATAAACTCATTGACTGCATAACAACTTAAAATATCATGTGCATACAATGAATCATAGTAAAAAATATATTTCTCATATTTCAGAATAGGCATGTTTAAAAAAGCAATTTATAATCATCTTTACAGTAGGTCAGAAGGTCTTTCATTCGTTATATTGTTAAATAAACTCACAGTTCACATCAGTGATGTTGGAGATAAAACCATGCATTAGGGTGAGGGGGGGGGGGGTTGTGGGTGCGGTGCGGCTGTTCAGATTGACACCAACACAAAGAGTCATGGTGTTATTTTGTTTCTTTTAGCAGTAAAACAATTATTTGAACGGTACAACCTATACAAGCTAAAAATTGACATTTATTTTTATATCTTTTTTATTTTTAAAGTGTACAGCTTTTGTCACTGCAATGTATCTTAATGGGCTTTTGGAAGAACATTCCAATATCAGTCTTGTACAGCCAGGGGGAGTATTGCCGCACTGACAGCCAAGTTGGGTCAAAGCTAGGGATGCTCCAATCAGGATTTTTGCAGCTGATACAGAGTACTGATTCCTTGTCATGGTTATCGGTTAATACTGAGTACTGATTCTAATGCCTCATGCTTTATAGTGGATTAGGCACATTTTCCCTCTAAATATGAACCTTAAGAAAAGATCTTGCCTTTCCTAAGAGAATAAATGAAGAATGCTGCATATAATCCCTTAAACACATCTCTTAGTTATAACCATTTAGGTGTGAACATGTCATAGCCAGAAGCAGCTTTACAGAAAATAATTCATCCATTCATTTTACTCTGGCTTAGTCCCTTATTTATCAGGGGTTGCCACAGTGGAATGAACTGCCACAGAAAATAATATAACACAGGTATAAAAATTGTTGTAAAAAATTACAATGCAATTTGGAAATATTGCAAATAATGAAAGAAGAAATCAACATGTCTCAATCAAGAAAAAGTTTGAAGCACATATTTGATGCATAAGAAGGTAAAATGCACAACTATAAATCTAATACTTCTTTACTAAAAGGAAATAAGGCCTATAAACTACTGTTTATAGCAATGAGTGTATTACAAGAATTTATATTATTAAACATTCATGTTAAAAAATTAAGTTTTATTTATCTAACTTGCATTCCTATTGAACTTGCAATATTGTCAAAACAGAACTTTCAGTTATTATATGTAAAAAGGCCTGGCCTACATGCAAGACCATTAAATATTTTGCCCATCTCCAACTATTGACAGCAGATCTCTCCATGAGAGAGAGAGAGGGATTTGCACTTGCAATATCTTTACTGCTCTATTCAATTAACCTAACAAATGTAATGCTTAGATCATCACTGTGCCTCTTGCGATCTGTTCTCTTGCTCATTCACTCTCGTCACCATGATTTTCGAGTATTTTAAGTCATTCTTGGGGTCACGGAGTCGGTATAAATTTGCGGGAGACTCCCGGAGCTTCCGGAAACAGTCAAAAGTTTGGATGAGTTGCTTGATAAGGGCAAATGCATCACAACAGGTCAAAACACTGGAGATGCAATGGCTGCATTTGCAACAAAGAGAGCATCATTCGTGTGATTCGCGCCATTAAACTAAACAGAGATCCCATCGCATCTCAATATATTTTAGCTGCTGTGATACGAGCATACTACGCTCCCATACATCATTTACCTGTGTTGTGGCTGCTTATGTGCGTCTTCGGTCCTGTCACATGTGGCGCGCACATTTTTATACAGACAGCAGACATTTGTAATCGCACGACCATGTAGAGACAGAAATCACATGCCGTTGTGTAAATAAGATATTACATACAGCTATTTAGCTTTTTTTATTAAAAACAGTTTGAGCTGGCACTATGTATAAAATACTATTACTTGACTTAAAGGGGGCAAGGAAAGCCGTAGGGAGGGCAGGATGCCCCCTAATAAAATGGTAGGGGCAACACTGATGTGATTCTAGGATTTTAATTTAGGGGGTATACCCTCAGTATGCGTATTTAGAATAACCACATTTCCCCAGAACTGCCTCTTTTGAGACACAACACATTATTTGACATTACCTTTAAAATTAATTTACTTAAAATGTACTACTAACTGCTTATAACTTCTTAATTACAATTGTGTAATATTTAGTTCTATGACAGAAATTGACAAGTCCTACCAGTATATTTGGCTATGTTTCAATGGCAGCAATTTGATTAAATTTAATGAATCTTTATTGAGAGATTAACTTATAGTAAATCAAATCTACTCTGGCCAAAGGTCTTGTGCAGAGCTGCAGTCTGGGCACTTGAGAATTTGATGATTATAAAAGTACATTTAAAGATATTGAAAAAGAAAAAGAATTGAAAAATTATTGTGAATAAGAAAAATGCTCCAAAACATGACATTCAGTTTATACTGTCATTAATTCTTGGTCAGTGTTTTATTTGATTATCCTAGTTACTTACCTCTCCTTTTCTCTAGTAATTCCCAGTGTCTGCGTCGCTCTCCTAGTGTTCTCCTGGTTCCCTGTCTGGTCCTCATATGCTCTCCATGTGTGTGGATCTCAGTGGTCATGTTTCCAAGTCAGCATCCTAGAACAATCCACGGCTCAAGTCAGCATCCTAGAAAAGTCCATGACTCAAGTCAGCATCCTAGAACAGTCCACGACTCAAGTCAGCATCCTAGAAAAGTCCATGACTCAAGTCAGCATCCTAGAAAAGTCCATGACTCAAGTCAGCATCCTAGAAAAGTCCATGAATCAAGTCAGCATCCTAGAAAAGTCCATGACTCAAGTCAGCATCCTAGAAAAGTCCATGACTCAAGTCAGCATCCTAGAAAAGTCTATGACTCAAGTCAGCATCCTAGCACAGTCCATGACTCAAGTCATCTCCTGTATATCCTAATCTGAACTGTTTAATGATCTTTGTTTACCAGTCATTCTCGATCTAATAAACTGCATATATTTTGACTTACTGGTTACCATTTCTTTTTTAATGACATTATCTGCATATTTGTACTATTGACAGATTTCATATTATCATGCGTCTCCATTATTGACAGGAGTTTTAAACATGGGTGCACTTAATGCACCCAATAACTTTTGATTTGGCATCCCTGAAATATAAAAAATTGTACAAAAATTTGTGGGGTGCAGAGAGAGAGAGAGAGAGAGAGAGAGAGAAATCATTCAAATTTGCTCTGCCATGAGCACTCTAATGGTTATCCAGATTTAGTGATCCTGAAAAGTTCCTATTCGGATCAGACTGATCCAATCCGATGATGCTTTTAAAAACTGGCTCAAAAAGTAAGCTGAATTATGTGATCACGGATCACAAAACAGGATTAGTAAATCTGGATCAATTTTATCCAGAATAAACCTAAAAAAAAAATCAAATTGGAAATCAAATTGGGCAAAGAACAAGGACCAGCCTTGACTAGCATTGAGACGATTGGCATTGCAAGATATTGAAGGTTCTTGTGGTCGATTATGACCGTGAAGAAAAGTTGGGCTCCTTAAGGGCAAGTTTGATAGCCAGTAGCTTGCAGTCACCTATGCCATAATTTTGTTTCGCTGATGTTAACTTCTGTGAATAGTACGCACACGGATGGATGACTCAGGTTTCACCAGACCACTATAAAAGTATGATGCCTACTCTGGCATCAGGTGCATCTACTTCCTCTACGAAGGGCAGAGTGGAATCTGGAATGTCAGAGGACGGAAGCTGTAGTTACATGAGCTTGAGTTGTTCAAAGGCTTGGCATGCATTAGGGTTCCAGGAAAGTGTACGTCTTCCGCCTTTAAAGAGGAAGGTTAAAGGAAGAGACGAGGCTGTAGTTCTTGATAAAGCATCAATAAAAGTTGGCGAGTCCCAGAAACCTCTGCAATTCCTTTTCGTTTGTCCAATTGGGAAACAGCGTCCACTTTGCCAGCTTCCATACTGACCCCCTCAGCGGTGATCACGTATCTGAGAAAGGAGATTGAGGTCTTGTGAAACACATTTTTCTGCTTTCAGAAATAGCTGATTTTCACGGAGATGCTGGAGGACCTTCTGGACATGAGACTGGTGTTCTGTCATGTTACAGGGGTAGATTAAGATGTCACCTACATAAATAATGGTGAAGTGGTTGAGGAAGTCTCTGAAGATTTTGTTCATAAAATTTTGGAAAATGGATGGACTGTTTGCTTGGCCATAGGGCATCACCTGGTACTCATAGTGGCCAGTGTTGGGAATGGTTTTTCCCTCCCCACGTTCAGGATTCGCTTGAAAGTAGACGCAGAGAACTTAGATTTATCGAGTAATTAGGTTTAATAAAAAAGAGAATCAGATCAACAAATGTCTGAGCTCAGGAATACAAAACAGCCACAATGCATAAGGCACACTCGGCAGTTCAGTATTGCCGTACAATCATAAAACAGTAGTTTTTATTCTTGGTTGTCTCCTCCCCACTCTCGATGAGCCTCCAATCCATTATTTGCCTGCCCATCATCAGATCTCATCTCAGCCAGTTAGAATCTGCCAGCAGCCTGCACACACACACAGAGAACTTCCCTTCCCCAATACATTTCCGCTTTCGTTTCTCTAGAAGAACCTCTTGTCACATTTCTGTGGAAAAACCCCACCCTAAAAGCGGAAATTAAGCAATAAACACAACATGTCAAGCAATGAGCATTTCATTAGTAAAAAGCAAAACATAATATCAATATTCAAACATTAAAATATAATTCCCTCAATTCCCTCTCTTGATCTCGTAAGAGATCACACCATATCCAATAGTTCCTCCTCCACTTCCTCCATCACGTCATCTCCGTCAGCTGCAGCAAGGAGGGGCATCTGATAAGGGGGTGGATTTTCCTTCTTTTCAATTGCAGTTATTATCAGCCTATTTATCAGACTTCTGAGACAAGGAATACAACAACACCCACATGTCACCAATATTCCCAAGAAAATACCCATTGAGGTTAGCATAGCAATAATCACTCCCTTCCATTCCCCAAACATGTCAGACATCCATCTTGATACAGCATTTTCTATCCCTGAGCTAGCTTTACCCATTCTAACCATAAGTTTGTTTCATGATAGCCTGTCTCCAGCGTCATCAGGTCTAGTGGAGTCAGGCCACTATAATCAGTGCTCTGTATTACTTTTTTCTTGTTTTCAGTTAGGTCTGTGATTATTGGCGCTCCTGTGGGTTTAGGCTTTTTTATGGAGATTTTTATCAACCCCAGTGGGTCTTTTCCTGTTACGTCTACCCCTAGGGTGATGTATGTGTCAGTTTTATCATTACCATCTTTTAGTGATATAATCAGCGTGTTTTTCCAGCCTCCCCAACTATGTTGGTATCCCCTAAACAACCTAAGTCGATTTTGGATGCTGTCTGTTTTGGCTAAAGGACTATTTTTCAAAAGATTTTTAGTGAATCCTGGAGCTGTTTTCCAATTTACATCATGCCAAGTATGACACCAGGGACCGTTTGGAGGCGTGGTGGTAGTGGGCCACAAACACCCATACACATCATACCCTCTCCATGCCAATTGGTCCTTTCCACAATCTATCACTTGACAAAGATCAAACTGCCACATCCCATCCTTTCCCTCTTTCCTTTCTAAGGTGATACGTACCCCTATTCCTCCCCCTTCTTTTACACTACGTTTCTCCTTTGTTGTCCCTCTGAACTCCATATGGCAGATTACCCATAGGATTACCACTAACATTGCTCCCCAGGCCACCACCAATTTGTTTATTTTATTCATTTTGTTAGAAGAATTACCTGAATGTGTCCCTCTCTAAACACTCTCTCAATGATTTCTCTCACTTTGGTGTAATCTAGTTTGTCTAATCCACACCCTAATTTTGGTATAGCCAATATTTTGTTCTGGCTAGAATTTTGTTCTGATCCCTCTTACACTGGTAACACAATTTTACCAGACTAGCCTCAAGATGCTCGTAGGTGGGTAGGTCCCTACACCACCATTTTGTTACTAAATGGTAAATCTGTCGTGGACCGTGTGTAGTTTTGATACAGTCTCCTGGTTGGGCGACTGAGGTGTCCAATTCTTCTACACCGTATTTGTCTCTAATTTGTTTAGCTACCCCAGCTCCCAGTGCATAATCAGCACTTATACAATGTGCAATGGGAATGTGTTCTGGTGTCTGAAGCAGGTCTCCAGTTCTTTGTAGGATTTTAAATACAGGGGTTGCGCTTAGCTGTGTTCTGTGGTTTTCTGTGTCTGGTTGTCCCGCTTCCCTGCTGCCCTCTCCCTCTCTTTCTGGCTCCTCAGCTGGCCCCTCAGTGCTGTCTCCAGAGCCACTGTTTCCACTGCCTTCACTGTCTCCTCCCTCTCTTTGACCTCTCCTGAGGTCAACTCTGACGTCCGCCAAAGTCCTGTCTGGAGAAGGGCAGAACATACAAGCAGACAAATGATACCATGTTGTGCCTTTACCTGCCAATTGCACACAATGGGATGTCCTAGCCGTGACTCGTAATGGTTCTGACCACCTTGGGCTAGACCATTTTCGTTTGTGCTGTTTCAATCTCACCCACAGTGTTGTGTTTTCTGCAGGTCTAGGTGCTTCACTCTCTGTTGGCCAATTTTTCTGCGGAGAAAACATGTTAATCACAGCACATACTTTATCATGATACATTTGTGGTGAGTCAGTGTCCCCAGCATGCAAAGGGGCCCATGGGCCTGGGAATTGTCTCCCTGTTGCCAATTCAAATGGAGTGAAACCTGTAGTTCGATTGATAGAGCAGCGAACTGACATTAGTGCAATGGGGAGTGCATCCACCCAATTTAATTTGGAGTTGTGACAAATTTTAGCCAGCTTGTTTTTTAAGGTTAAATTAAGGCGCTCTACCTTTCCCTGGCTCTGTGGGTGGTATACAGCTCCATACCGATGTTTTAAACCCATCATTCTTTCTACACCTGCCAAATGTTCATTTTTAAAATGGGTGCCATTGTCTGATCTGATTGAACGAGGAAACCCATGTCTCGGAATATATTGGTTGATCAAACATTTTACCACAGAGACTGCGTCTTCCTTGGCGCATGGGAAAGCCTCAGGCCAACCAGTGAATTGGTCTACTAGAACCAGCAGATACCTTTTTCCGTTTACTCTAGTAATCATGTCAGTGAAATCCATGACCACCGTACACCCTGGACCCCTATCTGTGGGGAAATGTCCTGCAGTGGGTTTGGAGGTTGGCTTAACATTGAATTCTGCACATGTCTGACAAGAGGCTATTACTCCACTTATCATGTGTGGCATGAAGGGATGCCACCATTGGGACACTCGTTTGGTCATGTCCTTCTCACTGCTGTGAGCCAGAGAATGGGCTTCAGTCAGGACTTTTTCTGCTAAGCTTGCAGGCATAATTGGCCTACCTGTAGGACCGACCCATAGTCCCGTCTGGGAGTCTCTCCTTCCCCCTTTCTCTAACCATACTGATATTTCCTCAGCTGCAGCTAAACTTTGTTCTTTAGATAAAAAGCTGGTGGTTAGATGTCTGTCAATTTGATGTAGCTCGTCAACTGCAGTTATGGTCATCTGTAATGGTTTGTACCCTGCCACCTTTTTAGCAGCAGCATCTGCGGCCTCGTTTCCTAATGAAACAGGGTCTTTTCCTCTGGTGTGGGCTGCACACTTAATTATTGCTACCTGTCGTGGCAACATAATTGCTTCTAACAAATCAGAAGCTTCTTGTGCGTGTTTTATGGGCTTCCCAGAGGATGTTACAAACCCCACCCTTGCCCAACCAGTTAGTTCGGAAGTGGCTGCCCCTACTGCATATGCTGAGTTTGAATAAATATTTACAGTCTTGTCTCTAGCCATGTGCAGAGCTCTCACAAGGGCCAATAATTCAGCTCGCTGTGCTGATGGTCTGTCTTGCAACACCTGCTGTTCCCTTATTACATACCCTTCATCAGTCTGTTCCACGATGGCGTAACTGGCCACAAGTTTGCCTGAATCAGTTTTAAAACAGCAACCATCACAGAACAGAGTTAGCTGTGGTTTAGTTAATGGAATACTGCCCAAACCTGGTCTGATTTGTTCTTCTGCCTCTGCCCTGGGGATACATTCATGTGGCTCTCCTTCTCCTGTGTGTGCCATGTTTACCCCTTGGTGTTCATATGTGATGTGTGGGGCAGTCAGTATTCTAATTAGCTTGTTCTGTCTCTGTGCAGAAAAAGTGAATGCAGATGAAGTGATGAATGATATAACAGAGTGTGACGTCAGCACGTGCAGTGGATGCCCCATGACCATGTGTTCAGATTTTTCTATCAATTTAGCCAGACCAGCAGCATACCTAGCACAGGTGGGTTGCTTTTGCTCTATCTTATCTAGAGGTGCACTCAAGTAATGCAACACCCTTCTTTGTTGGTGTTGTTTCTGATACAACACTCCATTTGTGGTGGAGGCCGTGGTGCTAATGTCCAGAAAGAAAGGCAATTCATAGTTTGGAGTCTGTAGGGCTGCTGCAGTGGCTAAATCAGCCTTTAGTCCACAAAAAGTGGCTTCAGCCTCTTGGGTCCAATTTAGTCGTGCTCTACTGTTTTTCATTCCGACTTCTTTTGCCAACGCCCTCAAGGCTGCAGTTCTTTCTGAGTAATTTGGTACATACTGTCTGCTATACCCTATCAACCCCAGAAATGACATCATGTCTTTTACCACTAGTGGTTTTGGGTATGACAACACAGTTTGTTTGGTGTCATCAGATAGGGCCGTGCCTGTTTGTCCAATTATTCTTCCAAGGAAGTGCACTGTTGCCCTGCTGACTTGAATTTTTTCCTTGCTCACCTTTAACCCTGCAGTACTCAGTAATGTTAATACTTTTCTAGTGTCCTGCAGGCAAATCTCGTTGGAGTGTGCTGCCAATAGCAGATCGTCAACATACTGGATAACGATGGTACCTTCATGCAATATACAGCTGTCTAGCAGCTCTCTTAATGCTTGGTTGAATATGCCTGGGCTTAAAATAAACCCTTGTGGTAGTCTGTTGTAAGTGTACTGTGTTCCCTGATAGCTAAAAGCAAAAATGTCTTGACATTGCTCTGCCAGTGGTATACAGAAAAATGCATTTGCTAGATCTATGCACGTGAAATGAGAATGGTTTGGTGTCAACTTAGACATGATGGTGTAGGGGTTTGGGGTGGGTAGGGTAGCAGTCAATACTTTCTCATTGATTAGCCTTAAATCATGCACCATCCTGTATTTTCCAGTTGTCTTTTTCAAAACAGGAAGGATTGGGGTGTTCCAGTCAGATACTGTCCTGCGTAGGACCCCAGCAGCCTCTAATTCTTTTATGGTTTCTCCTATCCCTCCCACAGCTTCTGGTCGTAGTTTATATTGTCGGACGTTTACTATGTCTGTTCTGTCTATCTGAAACAGTGCTGGTTCAATAGACCATTTTCCTACATCCCCAGCTCCCTGTGACCATAAGGATTCTGGCATTTCTTGCAGTAGTCTCTCTGCTCCTTCTCCATCTCCCTCTTGGGTGGTAACTATCCTACGTACCTCAACCATCTGGTATATGGCTTCCTCAGTGATATCAAATGTCAACCTATACCCGTCTACCTCTGGTGAGTACTCCCACTCATTGTCTGTCTTTTTCCAATCCCCAGCTTCCTGCATTCGCTTCACCATGGGCCCTAGAGCCTTAGCCTCATGCCCCTCATTCATAAATAATGTTACATGTGGGGTTGAAGTTTCTGTCATTTCAAAATAACCTTTTTGTTCTTCGGTTAATATTACCTCTGCAGCCACACCTTCCCTAGCTACAAACAATCTAGTACACTTGATGCTAGTTGTCTTGCCATTTACCTCTGTAAAACTTTGTTCATATTCCTCATCCTCACTGGTGTCATACAGTAGTGTACAGTGCCAGGGGTCAGTGGGGGTCTGAAATTTATACAGTGTGTTTAGCCATGGCTCCCATCTTGTTATTACCTTCTGCAATTTGATTTTGTCAGTTAATCTTAACCAATAACATCTAGCTTTGACTGTCCTATCTGTTTGTAGGACCCATTGACCTCTCACCGTTGTGGTCACTGGTGTTGAGCAGTTAGTTGTCAAACCATTGGGAAAAATGATTATCAGTCCCTCTGGATGACATAGGATTTTTACTCCTAATTTTACCAATAGGTCTCTACCCAGTAGCGCAGAGGGGACATTTGCAGAGCACAGGAACGAGTGGAGCAACGTCTGCCCAGCCACCTGGACCCTGAGTGGCTTGGTTAATGGCCATTTTTCAGTTTCCCCAGAGAACCCTCTCACTTCTTCACTTTGTGTAGACAGTGAGTCCTTCTCCATCATTTGTTTTTGTATAGTGGAGAAGGTGGCCCCAGTGTCCACCAGGGCCTGAACTGGCTGGTTGTCCACCAGTATTGTTAGGAGGGGCTCAGCCAGGGCACCCTCACTGGTTCTCTGTGGGCCTCGTCAATAGTCTGCATGGTCCAGCGGGCCCCAGACCGGGCTTTGCCTGGGCACCTGTTGGTTGCTGTACCACGAAACATTTCTGGGGGCACCTCTTCCTCTTCCCCCTTGAGGCCCTCCTCTACCGGGAGCCCGTCCCCGCGCAGGAGGTTGCCCCCTTTGGCCTCTATATGGGCATTCACGCCTCCAATGATCCTGAGCACCACAGCTGAAACACCCCTGCGCCACAGGGTTTTGATTTCTCTGATTGCCATGAGGTGGCCAGTCAGGTGAGGGGTCATAAGGATAATAATCAGGGAAACCATGTGGGCTGCTATTTTGCCCTGAGATTGGGTGTACATTGTGTACAGGTGGCCTGGCCCCTTCTACCCCTGGCCCTGTCAGCACTGGTAGCTGCAGATTATCTTTCTTTTTCTTCCCTTTTTCCTTTTCTGCCTCTATCTGCATTTTTAGTAGCTGTGTTTTTAGTTTTTCTACCTCAGTTTCCTCTTTCCCTTGTCTCTCTACTGCCTTGTCTACATGGTGGATGAAATGGCGTGTCCACACTTCCCCTTCTCCCCCCTGCATGTCTGGACTGTTTTCTATGGCGACTACAGCGCTAGCAGGAACACCCTTAATCACAGCCTGCCTGAAAAATTCTTTACATATGTCAGAGGAGTCTGGATTTTCTCCTGTCCTATCTTCCCATTCAGCCTCACACCTGTGCAGATATGCTGACGCAGACTCTCCAGTCATCAGTTTGAATTTTATGCTTTGATAAGTCAATTTTGGGGTAGGGTAAATTCGCCTCATGGCGCTTCCCACCTCGGTGCTGAACCTGTTTAAAGGTTCATCATTTTCTTCTGTGATTGTGTTAGCTTCCCTTTCTATCAGTTCTACCTGCGTTCTAGTTAGTATACTTCCCCACAGTGCTCTAACATCACCTAGTGCTAGGTCTGTTCCATGAGTCAAAGTTAACAGTTTAGTGAACCATCTTTGACCTCCCTTAGTGATTTCTGGTAATTTACTTAGCACAGCATTCATATCTGAATGTCCCCAGGGTTTGTATTCTTTCCTTCCTGTAGCTGCCCTGATTAGTGGCATCATTTTAGGGGTGCTATGTAAGTCTTTTATAAACAAAGGCAGCTGTGGTTCCCTATTTTGTCTAGCTAGTATCAAATCAGTTTCTGCCCTCTTTTCTTCTGCCAGAAGTATCTGCAGCAACTTTCCTTGATTTTTGGTTGTCTCTGTCCAGCTATTTAGACCTGAGAGATGTGCCCACTGACTTTCTAATGTTTTACTTAATTTTTTCCTGTCTTTTGGTTCGGTGTGATGCAGCATCTGCTTACAGATACCATCCCACGTCTCTTTATATGTTGTCATTTTAACAATGGTTTTGTCTCTTTATTGGGGTCACACACCTTACAATCTTCCTTATGTCCTAATAATCTGCACACCCACCACCTAGGAGTATTCTTTACCTTTCTTGGTTTGTAACACAAATTTCTTAACATCTAATTATGATTCCTTTCATTCACTCGATGCTTTATTCACACACTCTCAGTCCCTAGATAGGGCTCATCAATCACACTCTCCTCTCTGAGCTACCAGAATGCTGCGTCCGTTCCTACCGGGTCACACTTAAGTGACGGTCCAGAGAAGGTGCGCAGCACTCTGATTTCCCAAATACGGAGTTATTCACTTCACTCATATACACATTCAGGAATCTGCACACAACTGACACTTTTAAATCACAATTGACACTTTTAACCGTTACTTTCACTTTCTCTTTATGTTTTACGAGTACGAGTTTTCATAAACCTTTTAACCACGCCGGGTCAACTCACTTCTCAACCATGCCAGGACAACAATACGAGTTTTTATAAATCTTTAACCACGCCGGGTCAACTCAGTAATAACCTTTCATTTTAATTACTTTCACTTTCTCTTAATGTTTTACGAGTACGAGTTTTTATAAATCTTTTAACCACGCCGGGTCAACTCGATTCTCAACCATGCCAGGACAACAATATGAGTTTTTATAAACCTTTTAACCACGCCGGGTCAACTCAATAATAAAATACCTTTCAACAATATGAGTTTTTATAAACTTTTTAACCACGCCGGGTCAACTCAATAATAAAATACCTTTCAACAATATGAGTTTTCATAAACTTTTTAACCACGCCGGGTCAACTCAATAATAAAATACCTTTCAACAATATGAGTTTTCATAAACTTTTTAACCACGCCGGGTCAACTCAATAATAAAATACCTTTCATTTAATTATACAATTGTTGATTTGATTCAAAATGTTTACGGAGTATGTTGGTATTCAATCTCCAATCAACCTTAAATTTGGTAATTCCAATCCTGCAGTACTTTTATTAAAAAGGTGACTGCTTACCTTATTAGAAGCTCTGCAGAGAGGTTGATTTGAGATCGTCCTCCAACCCGACGAAGCGTCTGAGCGGATCCGGGTGCCCCCTCCAAATTGTTGGGAATGGTTTTTCCCTCCCCACGTTCAGGATTCGCTTGAAAGTAGACGCAGAGAACTTAGATTTATCGAGTAATTAGGTTTAATAAAAAAGAGAATCAGATCAACAAATGTCTGAGCTCAGGAATACAAAACAGCCACAATGCATAAGGCACACTCGGCAGTTCAGTATTGCCGTACAATCATAAAACAGTAGTTTTTATTCTTGGTTGTCTCCTCCCCACTCTCGATGAGCCTCCAATCCATTATTTGCCTGCCCATCATCAGATCTCATCTCAGCCAGTTAGAATCTGCCAGCAGCCTGCACACACACACAGAGAACTTCCCTTCCCCAATACATTTCCGCTTTCGTTTCTCTAGAAGAACCTCTTGTCACATTTCTGTGGAAAAACCCCACCCTAAAAGCGGAACTTAAGCAATAAACACAACATGTCAAGCAATGAGCATTTCATTAGTAAAAAGCAAAACATAATATCAATATTCAAACATTAAAATATAATTCCCTCACCAGAGAGGGTAATAAAAGCTGTTTTCCACTTGTCTCCTTCTCGGATATGGATTAGAATGTATACGCTTCAGAGGTCCAGTTTACTGAATATGCGGGCCTTTCGGAGCTCCTCTAGGGTGGCCAGTACCAGAGACAAAGGGGAGGTGAACTTAACAGTGGGCAGCATCAAGTGTTTTGTAATCAATACATGGCCTTAGTCCTCCATCCTTCTATGCCACAAAAAATGAAGCTTGAAGCTGGATGGTTTGATAAACCCTTGGCGGAGAGTCTCCTTGATGTAATTCTTCCTTGCCTCATGCTCAGGACGGGAAAGGGGATATATTCTTCTGTGCGGTAGTTTGGCATCTGGCTGCAGGTCAATGCTACAGTCCCAGGATCAATGTGGGGGTAACTGTGTGGCTCGTTCCTTGCTGAAGACGTCGAGATAGGGGGTGTAAATGGCCGGAATGAAGACTGTGGAGGAGTGGTGAGGATTTTTTTTTATGGTGGTGGCGTGAACGGAGAGAGTGCAGGTGCAGATTATGAACGAAGAAGTGTGACCATGGTTTGTACATGCTGCGCTCCATCCCAGTATCTCACTAGTGCTCTAGTCCATGTTAGGTGGATGCTGTGCGAGCCAAGGTATGTCCAGAATGACAGCAACATTGGCTCGAGGAAGGTTGAGTAGAATTAATTTTTCTCGATGGTAAGAGGATAATCACTTCCTTTGTTTGTCGGGATATCTTCCCATCGCCTAATGGTGAGTTTTGTATGCTAGTTATCTGGTATAGAACTTTATTATGCACAGAGGGGATATTATGTGTGGTAATGAAGTGAGAAGAGATGAAGTTACCAGCTGCTCCAGAATCAACCACCACATGTAAGGGGATAGTATGAAAATTTACAATTAATTGAGGTGGAATATGAGGTGTATGAGATACTAATGGAGTAAAAGTAACTAAACTGACCATTAGGCTAGGCTGGTGAACTGGGCAGGCAGAGATGAGGACAGTTTGTTCTCCACAATAGAGGCAGAGCCGATTACGAATCCGTCATAGTAGGTCAGAGGATTTAAGGCAATAGGTATCCGTAATCATGGGCTCTCTCGTATCCTGTGGTGGTGATAGAGTTGTGGTGGGTGAAACATGATTAGTGAACATTGAGGTGGAACAGACTGAGAGGTTGTGAGATATTCTTATAGCCTTTTTAATAAAGGTTTCCAAATTGATGTTGTCATCATAGACCACCATGTTTGCAGTGTTTGGGTTTTAAACCTTTACAGTAAGCAGCAACGAGGACCACCTGATTCCAGCAACTGCTAGCGGCGAGTACTCGGAATTGCAAGGTGTAATCATAAATTGTGGCGTTACATTGCCGTAGAGCAGGGGTTCTCAACCTTTTTCACTTCGGAGTCCACTTCTTTCTCCAATCAATTTTTTTAAGGCCCACCGGTCTGACATTTTCTCTAAAATGTTTGTATGAAATTCTCATTTAAACCTTTATTTATTAACACACACACTACACACACACACACACACATACATACATACACACACACACACACACACACACATATATATATATATATATTGTAGCGAGTCTGCTGATGCCACGTCACCCTGGTCACAAATTCACCCCAGCTGGAAACTCATCAGCACCGGATCGCTCACAGCTGGACCTCATCAGCCAGGGAGAGATAAAAGCCAGCCCCACACAGGAGGAAACCGTGCTTCATTTCCACATGACTCCCTGCGCTAACGCTTGTCTCTCTCTGTCTCTCCCACAGCTGAATCCAGCTCGTGACTGATCCAACACCAGAACTCTCACCAGCCTTCACCATCTCCCCGGAGCACTTGAGCACGCACCCCTAAGAAGAGCACTCATTCACTCACTTATCACTTGTAAATAAAGCACCCTCCGGGGCATTGTTTGTAA